AGATGTATATTATCAACATGAACAACTGAAGTATATTACCATTAGTTAACAATGCTTGAAAATTGTGGTCAGTGTTATTAGTTAAGCTAATCTCCTTACTAGGTACACGTTCACATACTCTCTCGAGAGATAAAAATTTTGGTACAAAGGCCAGTGAGATACTGTCAGGCTTCCTGAACTGAAATAGTTGCAGTGTAATCAGAACTTAAATTTCTACTGTGACAGTAATCCCTAATACTAACTCCGAAACTTGACCTGAACTAATGATCTTAACTTAAACTCTTAAACCTTGCTAATCCTAAATCCTAGACGTAAGTAAAACATCTAATTTTAAACGTCCACGAGTTATTATGTAACAAATTGTTCTTTTATATCTAGCTTGGTATTTTATAACGTTAACCAACAAATAGTCTAAATATATCAACCAATTACTCACCTACAACAAGCCCTAAGTTATGTATGAAATATCAAGACCGAAAGAATGAATCCGTATTGTCTAATAATGTTCAAATCTCGAAACACTAGATCCTTAACATTCAGAAAGAGTGCCATCCGATCAAAAGAGTAAATATGTACTATGAAATGTGAACATAGAATACATATATCAGAAGGGAATATCAATGGTCAACGAAAATAAATTAAGCTCTGCGATTCAGAATAAGAGACAAGGATTAGCATATACAAGAAAGAAGTATTCAAGGTGTATTGTACAAGTTTTAAACAGAGTCTAAACATACACAAACTACTGAGTATTATTCAGTAGTGTAGGGTAATACACAAAAAAACCCAGAAAGAATCGAAACTAGGGAACTGGGGATAAGTATAGTTTACCGATAAACCTATCAGATTCAAAATGGAAACGATGGGTTGCTGATATCTCATTAGAAATTAAATTTTAGTCAAAGACGCTTACACTTAAGATGAGAAGAGTAGAATGTAAAGAACATGATTTTGAAGGAAAACTAGTTAATTCTTCTTCAAATATACAATTAAAGGATTCATTTCAGAATTATTTATTAATTTAACTAAGAGGCAATTTACTACTCTATTCCTACCTAATACTGCTGTCTGGTAGTGAAAACCCTTTTTATTCATGAGCCTTAACCGTAACTCTTATTCCTTATACTCACTCGGAAAACATGAGTAAAATTTTAAATCTACACACAAATTCAGCAGTAAGTCTCATCATACACAAAGGGAAAAGCGAGATTCTCCGATACAGCACAACATCCATCAATCAAATCACACTTCACGGAGAAGATTTGGAAGATGTAAAAACCTTTACATATTTGGGCAGCATCATTGATGAACACGATGGATCAGATGCAAATGTGAAGGCGTGGATCGTCAAAGCAACAACAGCATATCTTCAACTGCAGAATATCTGGAACTCAACTAACATCAAGGTCAGAACTTTTCAATACACACGTCAAGACAATTCTACTGTATGGGGAGGAAACTTGGAGAACTACTACAATCACCATCCAGAAGATACAAATATTTATTAACAGTTGTCTACGCAAAATACTTCAGATCCGTTGACCAGAGACTATCAGCAACAACCTACTGTGTGAGAGAACAAACTAGATTGCAGTAAAGGAAGAAATCAGGAATAATTGCTGGAAGTGGATAGGACACACATTGAGGAAAGCACCCAACTGCGTCACAAGACAAGCCCTTACATGGAATCCTCAAGGCTGAAGGGGACGAAGAGGAAGACCAAAATGTAGACAGATATGGGAAGAATGAACAACAATTGTATAGAACTAGAAAGGAAAGCCAAGGACAGAGTGGGTTGGAGAATGTTGATCGGCGGCTTATGCTCTATTGGGTGTAACAGGCGTATATAAGTAAGTATATATAAACTAATAATCCAAAATACTAACCCGAACTTATAATTCCAATTCTTAGCTCTAAATCTTAGTCTGAACTTTTTGTAATAAATCATTTGTTTATATCATCTACAATCTGATCGAATGAATATTTGCTCTACATTCTTATGATCCTGTAGTATGGGGTCGAGTCACGTTTGACTATGATCACTACTACAAGATGAGCGCGTACCAGAAAATCAGAAGGCGAAAAGAGATTGTAACTAGATTTATTCGTTGGTGATCTCGTGGTATCGAAAGTATACCGAGATCGTGCCAAGTGAAATCAATGGGCGAATGTGCGAGCGTACAAGATCACAGTCAATGGAAGAATAATGGAGCAGTAATACGTCTGTCTTTAGCACAGTTAAACAAACGAGCACAGTAAAACAATCACTAGTACAATTGGTTATAATAATAATTGTTTCCATTAAACCAATCGCGTTCTCTTGATAAAAGTAGGTCACTACAATCCTATTAAGAACCCTTGAAGTTCATCAATTAATTAATTATCAGAAGGGGTTTGTGGAGATTTTTAGAAATTTTCACAGATTGAAATCACGAGTCAGTTGAAGCTAGACCACCATTGAAAACCTGAAAGCGCTGGACGGCCGTTTCGTCCTAGTATGGGACTCCTCAGCAGTGCGCATCCACGATCCAGCACTACGCGTGGCCCGAACCCAGGACCTAATGGCTTCGCGCGCGAGCACTTAACCATTAGACCACTGAGCCGGCATCCAACGGTGTTAATGTCTAACTTCAACCAATCCACGAAGTTGCGTCACCATATACCATTGTCCTCAGTAAGCTGATATCTCACAACAGACCTGGTTGTACTCCACTGGTAACGGCTTCCCACTAGAACGTGGATGCGCACTGCTGAGGAGTCCCATACTAGGACGAAACGGCCGTCCAGCGCTTCCAGGTTTTCAATGGTGGTCTAGCTTCAACTGACTCATGATTTCAATCTGTGAAAATAAATTAATTGATAGAACATTCCATTTAAGACACACACACACACAAAAACCACTACTACTAATTAAATATCAGTAGTACTACAAAAATAACTCAGAACAATGATATATATATCAATCAGAATATCATTGAAACAGAAGAATTAACTATTTCACAATCCTTGTATAGATTAATCTGATTATAGTACAATATTTCCAATGTAATCTAATATGAATACAACTAATTGCATGAATATATACACTGTAATTATGGCGACTTTTGTGATACAGGAAGTTATACATTTCCATATTACAATACAATAGAGAATTGTATTATCAAATTGAATTTAATTGATGCCTATCATGTAAATACACTACCGGAAATACATGTTATCAAAACAAACAAACAAACAAACAACCCAACTGATAAAGGTGGAGATTATTATTTAACAATCATTTACACTAATGAGAATATTGATATTGAAGTAAATGAAATGGTTCATTAATTCAACAATTAATTAATTGAATACACTTTAATAATAATATAAATAGTTGAAATCATGAGTCAATTGAAGCTAGACCAACATGGAAAACCTTGAAGCACTGGATGGTCGTTTCGTCCTAGTATGGAACTCCCCAACAGCGCCCATCCACCTCGCCCCCCCCCCGTGAGAGTCGAATCCAGGACCTATCAGTCGGACATTAACACCGTTGAATGCCAGCCGGTTCAATGGTCTAATGGTTAAGCGCCCGCGCGAAATTGAGAAGACGAAAAGCGAATATCCGGTGCTATAACCGGATTCCAAACCAATGGTGCACATGGGCTCCAGTATCCTGCGGGGACAAATGGCGTATGAACCAATCGTTCGTCACCGGCTACCATCAGACTTCATCTCCTGACGTCACTCCACTGCCTTGTGTATTAGACCTTTAGGTCCAAGGCTCGGGGTGTGGCCCCCTAAGAAAACCACTTGCTTCGGTCTGGGCACCCGGGCGGTATCCCAGCCCTCACACAAATCGAATGATTTATGTGGCGCATATGTATTTGGTGCCTCCTTGTACCGATGTTTATATGTTTAAATAAATAAATAAATACTGTCGTCTTCTGTAGATCGACAAGCCCTGAAGTAAAGCGTCTCTCCTTAATTAGAGTGACTAAAGGTTTTCTAGTTAGATACACAGGTTGATATTGGCTTGAAATCGATGGTAATGGCAAGGAAAGATTGTTTTCACTTAGTTTGGGGCTTGATATAATTCCTTACTTATAAGTCCCGGAATTTTAATTGCATCATATAAGCTTAAATTGTCTCTACCTTTGTCATTTATTCTTAACCTAACGAGATCCGTACCAATTTATATTAACGTACATTGTGTCCAACATTGTTATTTATAAAACTGGAGAACACTAAATTTACTTCATATTACATAAGCAATTAGTATTGTTAAGAGCTTTGAACTGTAACCGTTTCAAACGAAGCGTATGTGAATTACACCACTGTATTGTGTTTCTAACATGAATAAAAGCTAGCAGTACATACCGAAATGACAATGATGTCAAATCTGGGACTCATCAGTTGAACATACCTGAATCCCAGTATTGATTATTCCATTCTAACTACGTCAGGGTCGTATGTATTTCATGGTTTTCTTTATGAAAAGAATTATCCTAAAGTTTACTTACAAATAATTCTTTAAATTCTCAGGTACTTTTACAGCTGGTGATAAATAGTAGTCTACTTGAATTCACACAGACACTTGGCTTCTAACCAGAGATCTCGGGTTCAGACCCCACTCAACTTAATTCAGTTTCTGTAACTTGAAGCCAAGTACGTAAACTGTATTCAAATTAAAGATGAAAAGATAAGTACAAGTCAAATGGACTAACATCTCCGTGTAACATACTACTTTTTTATTGGGATTTGACTAGACAAATCCAATTACAACTTCATAACACAAACGTAGTGACATTGTTTTCTCCCTCCTAAGACTAGACAGGTTGAATTAATCGTCCCCCACCTCCTTACTTGTAAACACTAAGCAAATTCTGAACAAACAGAAGTATAGTCACCTGGGGTATACTTCCATGTGACACAAGAATCTGTTAAGTCAAATGCACTAGCCAGCATTTCATAAAATCTTGATGGGAAACAATAATTGTGATAAAAAATCTTGACTACTCACAGTAGTTTGTCTTATATTAAACAAAAAATATTGAAAATTGTGTTACAAAGTTACATTGAGATAAAAAAAAGTTTATTAATGTAACAGTCAAATGTATACAAGCACATTTCCTTATTGAAATGGTAAACATCTTGAGTTAAAGTTATTCTGATTATTGTTATTATTATTTGCATTATTATTATTGTTACTGTTATTCAATGCATTCGATACACCAGTAGCCAATGGATTCCAATTGGGGTTAGTAGCTCGAAGTGCATTTGTAATTAATGATGAGGCATTCAATGGATTAGGTGGCTAGGAAAAGTATTTAGAAAATATATATCCGGAGATACATGAATTACATGAAATGTTAACCATATAAATTCAAAAGTCTAGATAAATGAATAAAGATCAAGTTACGGATATTGTTATGATCATTATTAATGGTCAAACTAAAAAACTGAACAAATGTTCCATCCTTGTTTACTGCTTCTGACCAATGTACACCTATGGTCTTATCATAATGGGCAGAGCTGATGATTACTAGATCTAAACTAAGCCATAACTCATTTATATTACAAAGTAGGGGAATTTATTGCTTCATATTTTTCAATTCTGTCAGCACGTAGTTGATGTGATCATTATCCAATGTTATGCGAGAATTACTGCTTTAATTTCAATTGAGTTGGCTTTATAAGTTTACCAAGAACTTGGGTTTGGATCACACTTTAGTTACTTGAGGGCTGGTCAAATAAAAGTAGGCGGAACAGTGTTCAAAATTGTAATCTACTAGGTGAGAACTAAATACTTTTTAATCATCAATAAGCAGATATCAATGACATTCGATCTAATATTCAATACCTTTTCATTGAATAATGTAACCCTTCTGTTTGATTATCTACAAGTCCTGTTCATCATCCCTGGTGATATCGTGAGTCCGTGCTGCCAAGGAGGCGAATACTAGAACGAAATAGTTGGTTCGCTAATCTTCAATACGACTCTAAATGAGTTCAATCTCCTATGAATTCAACCGACAAACGACGATATCGGTCAAAATAAGTGATTAGTAAAATGAACGAATAAAATATTTATACAAAATTACCTGCATTTGATTACTAGTCAAAGATTGTTGAATCGTTGCTCCAGATAGATTATTTGTACCACCAACTACTGTCATTCCAGCAGATTTCGACTGGACAGCTGCTGCTGCTGACATCGCCGCTGAGACAACAGCAGCTAAAGCAGCAACAGCTGAAGCACCACTAAAGTTCTGATTATGCTGTGTGGACGACGATGACGGAATGGAGAGTGAATTAGCAAGAAATGCAGACGGTGGTGGTGCTTGTTGTAGTGATCCTGGTGGTGGCGCACGAATATTCGGTGCCCCGATAGATGGTGGAGGTGGAAGTGTAGGCGGAGGACAGTTTGTGAACTGTTGAAGTTGAGGAAAATTATTAGTGACAGTGTTATTACTGTTATTATTATTGTTAGTTGTAGTATTACAACTACTATTCAGGTTGTTTAGTCTAGGCGGTCGAGGTATTCCCATAGGAAGTCGATTTGAAAAAAGTGTTGAGGATGAAGTCTGTGCAGGCGGTAATGGTAAAAGACCACTGTTTTTCTGATTATTAATATAAATGTTCGGTTGAGTTATTCCACAAGTTGGTGGAATCATCGTATTCATAACTAACCTTGGTGATGGACCTAACAAAGACATTGGAGGAGGCGCACCAGTCGTTGTCTTATCTATGGATAAAGGTGTAGTCACTTGATTAGCATTTGTTGTTATAGTTTTTACAACGCCGGAAAGTAGAGACGCCTCTTCCGTAAAATTGACTTGGTTTGGCAAAGGTGTAATTATTTCTGAATGTGTGACAATATCGTTTTTAGTCATCATCGTACTATTTACATTATTACTACTGGTATTATTAGCGACCGAAGTAATTGCAGTTGACCCAGTACGATGTCGATGGTCAATATGGGCTTGAAGATCACGATGACTGAGATAAGTACGCCGGCAACCATCACTTTCAAAGCACATGAATATTCCTCCGACTAAACATCGTTCCACAGTTTGTATAGACTTTTGACATCTAATTAGAGAAATATACACATTAAATTACTAAGAATACACTGTATAGATAAATAGAAATAACTAGATTAATTACTCATTGAATAGTTATCAGTGTGACCGATCAATAGAGTATATAAACCATGTGAAAGCTTTCTACTTAAACACTACTGGTTAGAATAGTTTAGAGATTTTGCGGTGCCGTGATCTCTATCCGATTTGACCGTGCGAAAATGCTATGAGCATAAATCTTCTACTTAACTCCGTATATTACCTCAGCCAACATTTTGTGTGACAGCGGTAATACGAATGGGAGAACAGTCGCATACTAAAACACTCAGCCTCTGATTAGGCCCTTAAGTAGTGCCTCAGCTAACATATAAATATGATATTGTATAATTATGAGGAAAATTATCTACCTGCTCTGCTCCATAAATAGCCAGAACAATATCTGAAAGCCTGTGTTTACTTACACTTGTTAGTCAAAAGAATTTAAAAAAACTACCGACGTATGTGAAGGACAGACATAAGAGCAAATCAACTCACCTATTACATTTCTTCATAAGATTCATAGCACATGTATAACACAATACATGCTTACAAGGTAGCTATTTTGGAGAAAAAAGCACATTATTGACAAAATAGACCCACCTACCAAACGTCCATAGATTACAATCGGTAAATCACAAATATCACAGAAATGAAAAACTGTATCCTTTGCTTTTTCACCAACTAGCCAAACCTATTTCGTAAGAAAGAAAAGTAGAAAACGGGTGATGGAAATAAATACGACAGATTCTCTAACTAGACAGTCATCGAAAATCAGAGAGTAACTGATGTTAGCATGATCCTAGGAATCCATGAAAGTATCCACCCTTGAGCCCATTGTGAATTGAGTATTCCAGATTAGCTTCAAATCGCTTACCTGAAACTCAATGTACCACATTTCCAAATCCAATGAATTTGCGATACTACATGATCATTACCCACTGTTATCAGTGAGACGTCTCAGGTTCCACTATACTACCTACAATTTCTTACTGGAATTCAAAGGACCCATTGAAAAGCTATTCATTAGTGGGAACTTGATTATCATTATCATTAATGACACGAAAATATTTATGGAGACAAATTTTCAGAAATCCCTCAGGCTAACAGATTCTTTTTGTCCTGATATATTTTACAATGCAATGATACTGAACGTTTTGGATCGACATATTATTGAGATGTAGTTCGTAAGTCTATGGTACTACTGGAGACCTAGCTGATGAGTGACGAAAAAACAGGTCAAGCAACAAAGCCGATTCGGAATCTAGTCGTCATGGACCTATTATGAGATTTGCGGATAACACTAGTTTCACATGCACCATCAATATATATAGTTCAGCAGATAATCATAGTGAACGCAGGATTTGGTACGAACGTGCATAGGTTCGATCCATATTCCGCACCTTACGTCAGCGTAACGATAGGCAAAATTAACAAGATGAGGAACAAAGATGAGATAATATGAATGCCAACTGTAGTGGAGACCTAGACATGAGAAATATGGTGAGAGAATAGTTAATGACAACGGAAAGTTAAGAATGACAGCCAAATTAATTGGTCAGTTATAAGGAACAGAAAGTGGAACATATCTGCACCGATTCATGTTGAGACATTATATTAGCAGTGAGATGAAATTAATAAACAACCACAGGGTAGTAAAAGTAATGACAATATCAACGGTAGTAGAAAAGATTATGCATTAAGAATATGATTTAAGAAGTATAAACCCAGGAGATAGAAAGTAAAAGATAGTTTTAAAACTCATGATCTAAGGGAAGACAAAGAATGAATGCACCCGCTCTATTGCAATTGTTTCTGAGCTAAGCCACCCAATATCTTTAAGCACTGATTATGATAATCGCTACGACCCCAACAAATTTGTCTGCACTAACCTACAGCGATTAATCTAAAAGTTAATGACTTCACAGACATCTCATGCCTTTGTCTAGTCGTTCAGTCTTCTAAAACCTGTTATATCCCTATTTAATGGTTGAATGCCCACAAAAAATATATGACCCTTAATTTATATATCATATTGAAACAACACAGGGATTTCTTCAAAGATTCATGTCAAAGAAAATGAATCCACTTTCCCAATCCAACACTGGTAAAAATCTTTTCGAAGAATATCTATTCAGGATTTCACTGTACTACATTAATCTATGCGATTCACCAAACAGGCTCTAAGCACGTGTGTAGGATGCACAGAATTACTAGTAATAGTACAATTACAGTAGTTATTCAAGAAAAAATTATGCAATAGAAACAAAAGTTTGAATAGCATCATGACGTCAAAAGTTAATTGAAATAATTTCGATGTTAACAAATAGAATAATTCGATAGATAATTACATTATTTGTCCAATGTGCACGCTTAGAACGATCCCTCGGATCTTTGACACATTTGGCGCTTGGTGAAACGTTTCTTGAATTGGGGCTGTGTGATCGTGAACGAACTGAGTGATACGAACAACTTCTTGTTCTACTTCTAAAAAACGACTTTCCCCGACTACGATAAGATCTTGATCTGGAACGACTAGCAGAACGTGAACGTGACGAGTAAGCAGACCGACCATGAGAGCGTGAACGTGATCTAGACCATGATCTGGAACGTCGACTGCCAGAATGTGAACGAGAATAATTGGAATGACTTTTCGACCTAGTACTCCGACGTGAATGGGAACTGCGTCTGGAAAATGATCTGGTTCCTGATCGACTGCGATTCGAATGTGTATAACTTCGCCGAATACTGCCACTCCTAGATCGACTTCGGCTTGCGCTATGAGTGTGAGCTGTACTTCGGCTTACAGATCTTTGGGAACCAGGCGAACAAACCATTGCAAGTTGACGAAAGTCGTTCTTATTGTCTGAAATAGAAAAACACAGGGACTATTGCAAGTAAACCCATGATTCGAATTTCTAATTAAGTTAAAAAAATAAAGTTGTTTCTATGACCTTAGTACCTCAGCTAAATTTAAACTACGTTCAATTCAATCCTTAAAACTTGAAGTAGTGTAATTACACTACTTCCGTGTGTGAAGTACCATACTAGCTACTTTTACTATAAATCCAAGTTACGACTGCATTATACGGTCAAAGTTCCAGTGGCCGATGTAGCGATTATACAGAACGTGAGGCGCAATTGGACTGCGGTGGTGCTAACATTCACAAACATATTAGAGACGCCCCAAAAGCAAGAAAATGTGTCACTTGACGTGTCCATTTGAGAAAAAAATGTGAAAATATAGATTAAATTACAAGTCACAATATCCATAAATACAAGAAGTGACTGATATATCCCAAACCTTACAATCAAACGGACGTACCGCAAGTTTGACATTTCCCGGTCTTTTACATGGTTCCAAATAGTTCTGAATGGAATAGAAGAAGCTTTCGCTTATTTGGCTTTAGTATCTAGTAATAGTGGATCATCTGTGTCGGTAGGTAGGAACATAAGTATATTTAATTATTAAAGAGAAAAAAACTATTGGTAAATCATAATGAGATTTTGTCCTTAGTCCTTATGAATGTACACAGTTTTCTCATAAAGGACTCTTGAAAAGTCTCTTAGAATGGCTCAGCGGACAGAGGACTCGAGCACTCGACCACTTTTGAGGAGTAGAAAGTGTGACCCTCGTCTATCCTGCTATGTCGTTTCCAGTTTCTGGGTGTTACTCCCAAGGCTTTTGTTGGGACTGAGCCTAATTAGGTATTTGAGAGAATGTTTAGGAGTGTTAAGCATTCCGCAGGTCCATAATTCTCCTCATCGCGTAAATTTTTAGCGATTTGGGGCGCTCTTCATAAGGTTTGGATTTGAGTCCCTGAAATTATTTTGTGGCATTCGTTTCTATATGTTTCAATATACTCTTTTCTTTTTGGAGTGGGAAAGAAGACATTCTATTTTCATACTCTAAATGAGGCTTTTCTTGGCGCGCTTTTCGAACGGGAAGTTTAGTCCTAACGTGATTTGCATATATCAAACTTTTGCTGTGTTCTTACGCAACAAAAGTACCATTTCAGTTCTAAAGAATCTATCCTGAGCTATATGTTCGGTAGATTACTTTTTTTGAGTTTCACTATATTTAATAGTGGTTTTGCCTCAGCATAGTATTCGGTTTTTTTTTGTTTTTCACGTATAGACTAGTTTCAGTTTATATCACTCGTTTTGTCCATTTTTGTCCGTTTTTAGTGTGCTTTTTAGTGTTTTTTTAAAAGGTCTTAGGCTCTTGCAAGCATCTATAACATAGTTTGCTTCAACACTGTCATGAAAAACTCGTGCAAACGTCCGGGATGCCGTTTTGCTGTCACAACTGGCATGCAGTGCGACAACTGCAAAAGTTGGTTCCACGAAGCATGCACAAATCTGACAGCAACTGCTTACAACAGACTCAGCAAGTCAGACCAAAAGTGGGTATGTGTCACGTGCAGCACCGACGCAGTAGTCTTGCTGAGTAACATCATTGTCCTACTGACAGGTCTTCGGAACAAGCTGTCAGTTAACTTGGAATACGATAGTAAAAACCGATATACAAACAAGAGCGTGCAACGGACTCAAAAATAGGGATGTCGATAGGTATACCAACGATGGAGCATCCATCAACACTAATGACGACGTGTTGAGGCTCAGTACCATCATTACGTCGACGGTACTAGACTCTTTAGGCAAACTCGGGTCTCCCAGCTCAGGGTCCCTGAACACAACAGTGGTTCCCAAAAACCCTGCAGGTGATTCGACCCACGTTAAGAGAGCCCAAAAGAACCAGGCATCACCGCCTATGCCGAGCAACCCAAGTGTTGCTGCACGGAAAATAACTGGTGATTTAGTCGTACAGTCTACCCCCAAGACTGTTCGTCCGGTCAATAAAGAGCCCAAGATTCATAAACGCACACCGACCTCCAAATAACAAGTTATTAAACCTGAACCCATCGTGAAACCTGGTAAATTAACAACAGTTCGAGACGATTCTCTCATTATCATGAACCTCGTTGACAATCCTGACCTTCCTCTCAGTCTGCAGGACAAAAACGACAGGATGCTGTGAGGTGAATTGAACAAGAAGCTCGAACTTCCTAGAATAGAGCCGTGGACGGTCACCCGGCTCACTCGAGGAAAGGATTCTAAGCATCTAAATCACCCGAGGCTTCTCCGAGTAACACTTAAGAATGCTACCGACGTAGAGGACGTCTTGCTAGCAAGTCACTTACTGAAATCAGATGGTAACGTAAGAATATTGCCCGACATACCGTACTCTGAGCGCAATATCATACGAAACGTCCCTAAAGAATCTCGCGAGAAGTTCTTCCGCGGAAGAAACATAATTGTCCAAGGTATACCGGAAAATGCCGACCCTACTCAATCAAATTCTGACATCAGGGAATGGAAATTCATCAAACAGTCCTTGAGGCTCAAACACATACTGACTCAGCATGTGACAAGACTAGCCAAGAAGGACGGTGATCTTAGACCCCGTCTAATGAAGATAGCCTTCCCATCTTCCCACATGGCGGCTGCAGTTCTGGAAGCATTTCGTGCTAATAGACGTCGATTGCCACCTGGAATCCACATGCACCCGGATAGGCCATACGAAGTTAGGACCAAGAACAAAGGCAAGTTGGAGCTGACCATTCCACTTGTGGACTGTCTAAACGATAAAAAAAACGTGTAAAGGACAGGGCCTACCACCTCGGCAAACCTCATATAGGTGGGCTACCTGTCCATTCACATAAGGTTCATACAGAAAAACAGGACGAAGCTCACGCGTTCCAAATTGAAAGCATAAACTGCTCATATATGAACGCCGCGAGTCTACCAAACAAACTGGATGAACTACGTGAACTTAGCAACGCTAATAAGGTCCATCTGATAGGAAAATCTGAAACCTGGATATCTTCTCAGTTCTCGGACCAAGAGTTAGCATTACCTGGGATGACTTTGTTCCGCAACGACAGAAAAACAGGAATTGGGGGCGGAGTAGCCATATACATAAGCTCTTGCTTGGAGGTGCACCAGGTTCACAACCTGGAGTTTAACAATCTTGAGGAATCCATATGGTGCTCTGTAAGATTGTCTAGTACTTCCAGGTGTCTAGTCGGAGTCATTTACAGGAAGCCAACTGCCGACACCGAGTACGATAGTCGTATACTGGAAGGACTATCCCGCTCTATCCGTCTCGGTTTCACACACATCCTGATTCTAGGGGACTTTAATCTCCCTAGAGTCAACTTCGCGGAACACACGTACACTGGAGGCGACAACTCAACTGAAGCTCGGTTCTTCAACCTCATCGATAACTTGGGCTTATATGAAAATGTGAGGTCGGCAACTCGTTGGAGAAACAGTCAGACACCATCGCGCTTAGACTGTGTATTCACTAACGAAGAATTCTTAGTCGACAACCTCTCAATCCAGGCTCCTCTGGGAAAGAGCGATCATGCCGTCATAGCCTTCAGTTTTGTCATCAAAACTAAGCTAGGGTATCCCAACAATACTTTGCGTTGGAATTTTAAACGGCTGAATGTGCCAGCTCTACATGACTATCTACAACAGGTGGTTTGGGATGTTCACCCTCAACTCGATGTGGATGGTCATTGGGACTTCTTACTGCACACGCTCTTATGTGCTACAGACCATTCAGTTCCTCAAACGGTTCCCAAGAGCTGCAAGCCACCTACAGTAATCAAGAACCGTACCCTTCGCCTGCTAAGCCGCAAAAGGCACTGTTGGGCAGAATACAAACGAACTAATAACGATGGAGCGTATAGGCAATATAAACATATCAGGAACATATGCACGAAGGCTATAAGAGAAGACAGGCTTCAGTACCAAACAAAGCTTATGGACAAATTCGCCTCTAACCCTAGAAGCCTATTCCGTCATGCAGCCTCTCTTCGTCAAGCCAAAACAGGAGTTTCTCAACTGCTAGGTCTTAACGGCCCGACCAACAATGATGGCGACGCCGCTAACCTTCTGGTGGCACATTACTCTCAAACATTTCAACCGGCTGACATCAACTTTATTGACGACAGTTTCATCTGCAATTCCACAGGACTTTCTGAAGTGGACCTAAGCGCTGACTTGGTGTTCTGGAAATTGCAGCACTTAAGACTTGACACTTCTCCTGGCCCGGATATGGTTCATCCTGCCATACTGAGGGAGGCAGCCTCAATCCTGGCAACGCCGCTTAGCGTGATGTTTTCACACTCGCTTAGCCGAGGCAAATTACCGGAAAATTGGAAGTTGGCTCACATCACACCAATTTTCAAAGGTGGTCGACGCAACGAACCTTCAAGTTATCGGCCGGTGGCTCTTCTGTCATTACCTTCAAAACTCATGGAGTCCCTGATATGCGACGGTTTAAATGACTATCTACTGTCCTTAAATTTCTTCTCACCCCAACAGCATGGTTTCAGGAAGGGTTACTCTTGTATAACCAACCTGCTGACTGCGGTGGACAGATGGACAAGCATCCTCGATCGCAAGGGAAAGGTTGATGTCATTTACCTTGATTTCTCAAAAGCTTTTGATAAGGTTAACCACTTGTGTCTTATCAACAAGCTCAAACGACTAGGTATCAAACCACCTCTAATCGACTGGCTTACTTCATACCTAAAAAATCGACACTTTAAGGTTAGGGTTAATTTCACTTTATCTCAGGCTATGGAATGTCCTAGTGGGGTCCCCCAGGGCTCAGTACTAGGGCCTCTTCTCTTCTTGATCTACATAAATGATCTTCCTCAACAGGTAACGTCAGACTTATTACTTTTTGCCGACGACGTGAAACTTTGGAGAGAGATACGCAACCAAGACGATACACAGGCACTTCAGGAGGATCTGACTCGACTTCAAAGTTAGGCAGACGATAACGGACTTACCTTTAACACTTCAAAGTGTAAAGTAGTCCATCTGCGACATGTCGCAAACTACAGTTACAACTTAGGAAACTCCTCTCTAGTAGTATCCCAAGTCGAAAAAGATTTAGGAGTCCTGGTGCCCCATGACTTAAAGTCTTACGCTAACTGTGACAAAAATGCCTTCCGAGCAAACCTTGCAGTGGTAACGTTGAGGCGCATTTTTGGCCAGTTTGACGGAGGAACTTTCCATACAATCTTCAATAGTTTTATCCGTCCCCATTTAGAGTACAGAAACATAGTACTCCCCCCTCACTCCAAAAGGACAAGGTCACTTTGGAGCGTATCCAACGGTGAGCCACGAAATCAGTTCGAGGACTCAAATCTAAGCCTTACGAAGAACGCCTCCGTTCACTAGACCTTTACCCACTAGAATATAGGCGTCTTAGAGGTGATTTATTAATGGCTTATAGTATTCTTAACACTTCTGGACATCCTCTCAGACACCTACTTAAGCTTAGTTCG